CTTCATTTTCCTTCTATAAAACTTCCAACATCACAATTTTCTGCTCACATACTCTGCTAAAATTTTGAAGTAACTCATAGAATCACAGAACTATTCAGGTTGGAAAAGACCCTTGGGATCACCGAGTCCAACCATCATCCCTGCTCTACAAAGTTCCCCCCTAAACCATATCCACCAACACCACATCCAAATGACCCTTAAACATATCCAGGGATGGGGACTCAACCACCTCCCTGGGCAGCCTATTCCAGTGTCTAACCACTCTTTCTGTGAAAGAATTTTTCCTGATGTCCAGTCTAAACCCACCCTGTTGCAGCTTGAAGCCATTCCCTCTTCTTCTGTTGCTAATTACCTGTGAAAAGAGACCAGCACCAACCTCTCTACAATGACTTTTCAGGTAGTAGTAGAGACTCATGAGGTGTCCCCTCAGCCTCCTCTTTCTCAGACTAAACATTCCTAGCTCCTTCAAGTGTTCTTCATAAAATTTACTCTCCAGGCCCTTCACCAGCTTTGTTGCCCTCCTCTGCACTCACTCCAGCACCTTGAGATCTCTCTTGAACTGAGGTGCCCAAAACTGGACACAACACTCCACGTGTGGCCTCACCAGTGCTGAGTACAGGGGGACAATCACCTCTCTACTGCTGGTCACACTATTTCTAATCCAAGCCAGGATGCCATTGGTTTTCTTAGCCACCTGGGCACACTGCTGGCTCATGTTCAGCCACTTGTAAATTAGAACCCCCAGGTCCTTTTCTGCCAGACACTTTCCAGCCACACTTCCCCAAGCCTGTAGTGTTGCCTGGGGTTGTTGTGGCCCAAGTGCAGGACCCAGTACTTGGCCTTGTTGAAGCCCAGACCATTAACACGAGCCCAGTGATCTAATCTATCCAAGTCTCTGTGTGGAGCCTCTCTATCCCCATGCAGATCACCCCACCTAGCTTGGTGTCATCTGCAAACTTATTGATAATACACTCTATGGCCTTATCAAGATCATCAATAAAGATGTTAAACAAGAACAGTCCCAACACTGAGCCCTGAGGAACACCACTTGTGACTGGCCACCAGCTGGATTTGACTCCATTGACCACCACTCTTTGGGCATGACTGTCCAGCCAGTGCTTGATCCAACAGATTGTGTGCTCATCCAGGCCACGAGCAGCCAGGTTTTTTCTGAGAGTTCTCATCTGAACTGAGCTCAGGTTCACCTTTGCAGTGGCTGCAGGTGAGAGAAGGCAGGCAAAGAGGGGCTGCCGAGGCAGGATGGATACTCTGGCATGCTGTGAGGTTACGGATGTGCCACCCCCCAGCGTCCTGCCCCCCTCTCCCTGCCAGCCTGCGCTTGAGCTGCGCTGCTGCAGTAAGGGAACAGGGGGTCTCCTCTCAGCCTGCCTCCAGAATTCACAGGGAACTGTAGAAAATCAGACACCCACAGATTAGAAATAAAATCTGGCAGATTATATTCTTCACATTTAAAATAAAATGGCAAGTAAATTTAGACTGGGCAGAATCTGGAATGAGGAAAAACCTGAAAATCAGAAAGGCTTGTGAAGTGCTTGAGCTACCCAACACTTGGCTAAATTAAGATGGTACCTCCCCATACTGAGCTATTTTAAACCACACTTCTTGACTCTGCTAAAAGCAGCCTTTACACCCTCTATTGTTGAAGCAGAATATATCAAGATTACTTGTAGCTAATCCAACTGAAAACTCTCAAAAGATTTAGTTGGTTTTCTTGGAACAATAAGTATTGCACAACTTCTTGAGCTTTGAGTTCAAATTTCACTACATTTGAGATTGCTGATGGAAAGCACAGTTGTGTCATCTGAATATCACATCAAGGCCAATATGACAAAAATAAACACCAGCAGTATAAAAAGGGCAGAGAAGTGAACAAGTTGTCCTTGCTTTATTCTCATAACTTCTTACTACAGAGCACGAGAGTTTGCATGTAAAAGCAGACAGAGGAGGTAAGAGTAGATGTATGTTGTGCATGCATATACATGCTGAAAAAATTAATTACTCTGAATTAAGAGTTCAGGTTTTGTCATATACAATGACTGGAACACATGCAGCAGAAAAATAAAAAATAAAAAAATGTTTAGCAGAAGATTAGATTTACTTCTGTGTAGGAATGAAGAGTGTGACATAAAAAAGTTCTAAAGTGGTCCACAAAATGAGCAAAGACAGGAAATATTACCTTAGTATCAGTAGCTTCCACAGGTCTGTGTGCAGAAATGCAGAGCTTGTAATGTGCCTGTACATGATGCTTTCATTTGCCATAGGTAGTTTCACATTAACAGACATTAACAGATTTACACAGGACTGTGTACATCCAGCTGTATTCAAAATGAAGTGATATACATAATGTTTTAATATGAAACATTTTCCCCCTTGAATTCAGGTCTGGAGACACCTGTTTTTTCAGTACTACTAGTACAGCTAGAAATGATTGAAACATTTTTAATCTCTATTTGAAACACCTTGCTGAACATTACGAGGCTTGTATGAGTTTACGGAGAAGGGCAGATGCGTTTTAGACGTTAAGATTTCTCCAAATTTGGCTCTGCTGTTACATGAGACATTGCTAATCAGAGTATTTACCGAGTGTTCAAGACAGAGCACAGGCATACCCTAGCTGACTCTCACCACACAAGCGTAAGATACATGTGTAAATAGCACTATTCATACGCTTTGTAGGTGTAGAAATAAAGAAGACAGAGATAGAATAGATTATCTTGTTCACAGCTTTTTTGTTCATGTCTCTCCCTCCCTCCTGCAATAACAAATTACCTCGTTGTTTCTCACTTTGCTGACACTTCTGCCCCTTTTCTTCTGAGATGCAGTCACAAGAGTCCTTTTTTTCTTTTTCTTTTTCTTTTTTTTTTTTTTTTTTTTCCCAAATTGAAGCATTGAGAAGATTTTGTTCTGTCTCCTTCAAAGGTGGATTTTTCCCATGCTGCCATTTTGATCCAAGTACATGAGCAGTTTTTTGTTGGGCTGGTACCCAAATTGCTTTTGTTTTGTTTTGTTTTACAGTAAGTAGGAAAAAAAGCACCTAGTCTCTAAGAGATTAAAGGTTTGGCCAAGACTGATTAATATTTCTATGATAACACAGGTTGGGAGATGCTGTCAGACATCATCTTACCTAGCACTTTCTGCAGTGTGTTTGGTATCATAAATTATGTCAGCACTGACTGCACTGCTGGGGTGGATTACATCCAGAGTCTGAAAAGCTTTCATAGGCTGGAGAGCAGAAGTCGGCCAGCTTGGCTTGTGGATAGAAGCTGCCTAAGGGGCAAATGGCTTGTTAAGGGTATTAAGCTATTCTCTGAATCTCACACACACTACAATATCCAGGTCAGTGGGTGGGACAACCCTAGACCAAACGATAGCTCAGACACCTCTCTGTGAGCCTCATATGCACAGTGTCTGCAGCCTGTGGTCCAAAATGTGTCATCATGTGCTCTGCTGTGGGCAAAGAGAAGACTGATCAAGTTTGGTTTAGTTATCTGAGATGCATCTGTGTTACAAACTCGTATCTCTCTTATTATTCTCTTGTCTGCTGTTAAGGACAGCATCAAACAAGCAATAAAAATGAGAAGGACATTGAAGGAACTAATCAAAGGACCAAAGTTTCAGCATAGGTAGGGAAAAATTTTGAGGAGCAATACAGCCTAGATTTTTAAAATGTCTGTAACTTCTGATTTGTTGCTGAAACAAACACAAAAATCCTTCAAGCTGGAGCCTAAACCCAGCTATGAGACAGGCAAACACAACTACATGTGTAATAAAAAGGGATTTGCATTAAATCTAAATTAAAGATTATTACAGGAATGGAAGCCAGACAACTAACAACATCACATTTTAGATATTTTATCTTTCAAACATACAAGAGTCCTAAAACAGATGCACTAAGATAATAGGAACATCCTAGTCTAATTTCCTGACAACCAGCTAATACAAACACAAGGAAATAATAGAGAAGCTAACAGAGAACCTGCAACAAACTGCTGCTTAAAGTTATTTCTGGAAGAACAACTATTTTTTTCCAAAGATTTAGGTGTCATCTTGGTAGCTGGATGTCTTAGTGGTTTAGAGGAGCATCTAGCCGGAACACTTAGATAATTCAGAGAAGTAATGCAAGAGACTTTTCAGATGGCATCCGTTCTCTCTGCAGCATATTCTGAAGCGTGCTGAGTTCACTGGATGCAGGTAGATGTCTGACTTGGCAGGTTCTCATGTGGATTTGATATGCCATAAAACACATAATGGTGATCAACCATCACATTATAGTGAAAAACATTTGGAACTTCCTAGGCCTGGTATTCCTGACTATTGGGTATCTGGTGGCCTTGAGACATCCAGCTGAGGAATGCAGATGATGAAGCAATCAACATTATGTGCTAAAATACTGTGTGCAGTATGTAAGCCAGAATCTTGCTATACGATAGTTTCAGGTAAGTTTGGCCCAAATACTGAACCACTTATGAAAATTATTTTAATTTTTCCACTGTTTTTCCTACTGTATCTTGTACCAAGTGAGCAATCTAAGCTCTTTCCCACCTGAATTCATATTTCCTCTTCCCAAAAGATGACAATCAGTTTCCAAGGCCAAATGCTGGGACTGTTTTTATTAACAAGTAAGCTGTGTGGGACATGTAAAACAGGCATAGTTTCACTTTTCTTTCTGAAATATGTGGACAGGAAATATTATTCCTACTTTAATTCTGGATAAAAAGGATAAGAACTAGCAATGGATTTCTTCTGTTCAAGAAAAGGAAATAAAGGGTGAGACTTTCCAGCAGAAGAACTTTTTTTTTAAAAAGTGATTGATATATAGATAGCAGAAATAATAGTTGGTAACTAGATAGAAGTACTCAGGGGTTTTATATGCAGGTTTGCCGGTCCCAGAATCAGGGTAAAATTGCAGTTAGAAATTAGTTTAAGCCAAATTTATAGCCAGCTAAAGCAAACAGATGATATAGATTCAGTTGATTAACTTAATACACTAAAGCAAATCTGAACAAAAAGACTGCAAAAGAAACAAACATGAGCTTGTTCCAGCTGCCTCCTCTGTCTGAAGATAGGAGTCCTCTTTGTGCTGCTGGTGCAGATCTAAAGAAAAGAAAACAAACAGGATGTTCACAGCACAGAGCTGAGTTAGGATTCTTTTAAATATCAGGGGTTTGTTGCCAGGGATGAAGTTTGCAGTCCAAGTGCTAAGCTAGAAGTCGCTTTATAGGAGCTCACCACCAGACTCCCTTTGCTGTCATGACTTTATAAATAGGATATCTGTGCAAACCCTGGGAACGCTCTTTCCTACTTAATTGCTGAGCCTCCTTGTCTCTCCACATCCATTTACTGTCTCTGCCCTTATGCTTGACATTGTATAGAGGCAGCAGTTGTCCTAGAAGTTTATATTTTTTCAGCACTTGATACAGTATCCAGATCCCTTTCTAAGTCTCCCTGACATTGCAATACTGTCATAAATACCTCCACTAATAGCTTCCATCTGGCCGCCTCTCGGCTTCTGTTTTTAAGCCGTCTATGCCATCTAGTGGGTATTTTGTTACTTACAAGTTTTCTTCAAACAAGGGTCAACAAGCCAAAGTCCAAATTTTGACTC